GCCGGGGAGCAATTCCCCATCACAGCTGCTCCACGCTGGGGCTCCAGATGAGTGGTCGGTGCGGGAACGCAGGCAAGGGGTGACACTCGGAGAAATCACCCCGTTTGCTCGCGGGCAGAGCGATTAAACAAGGAGCGGGAGGGACGCTGGCAGCTTAGCAGTCTTCATGATCAGAGATTTGGCTAAATCCTTCAAACGTAGGTATTTAAAGCAAGGCTCGTAAATAACTGATAAGTGAGTCCGGTCATTCTGAGTCTAAAGTACCAAATGGCCAAGTGCAGACTTATTTCAGCGCGTCGGCTAAATCTGTTAGCTGTCACATTGAAAGTGCCACAACATTTTATTGCCTGTTTCCTGGCTTCAGAATTAATTGCTCCCTGTATGGCTTAGGGCTTAAAAGGAGGAAAAAGAAAAACCCAGACCTATGTGGCTGCTACTTATGAGGAAATACAGAATGACCCGCAGCTTAATTAACCTGCGCCAGACAGTTATATTACATTCCGCTCATCCCTCAACAACGAATAGATCTCAGTAACAGCCGTTTTTTCGTTCTCCTGACAGTGGTTCAATTATCCTTGCAGAGATCTAGTCCTAAAAGGACCTGATTTTGCTGTTGGCCCTGTTCTCTGGCGCTGTGTTTGCTTGGGGAGGTTACAGGGGAGGAGAACACGCGGAGCCTCGGCTGCCATGCCGTGGGGGAGATGGATGCACAGGGAATGAAGAACACATATCGCTGCAGCTGCTGGTGCTGAAGTGCCAGCCCGGCACTGTGTCGGTAAAGGGCATCTTCTCTCTCAGGGACTTCTTGAGCGATGACGAAAATGAGAAGAGAAACGTGCAATCTTCAGATGACTCCTTTGAGCCTTACCCCGAAAAGAAGTAAGGGGCTTACTGCGTGGTGAGCAGAGCTCTCTGCGGATGAGCGGGAGGGCTCCGCCGGGCTGGCGCGATCGCCGTTCTCCCCATGTCCCTGCGTGGAGGTCACAGCGCTGCCCCAGCAGCTGCCTTCCCCAAGCTCCCCAGCAGGTTGAAGCTGGGCCACATCCCTCACCCTCAGGCCCGGTGCTAATTACCGCAGCACGGCTCGCATGCTCCTGCTTTGCTGGGTCGAGCTAAGCCATCAGACCGGGTGTAATCGTCGGGGACGATTAGGTGGGAGGACTAAAACCAACGTCAAGTATTAAACCACTGTTCTTCTTCCCTGTTTCTTCTTGGAGGGTTTCTGGCAAGAAAAGCGACAGCAAAGAAGCAAAGAAGGCGGAAGAGCCCAAAATAAGGAAGAAGCCGGGGCCTAAGCCAGGCTGGAAAAAAAAAATCAAATGTGAAAGGTAATAAGGAGCAGGCAGCGGCCGGGGAGCGGCCCCGCGCTCGGCACGCTGGCTGACGGCGGGGCGGGAGGACCGCGCTTCCATTTACAAGTGTCCTTACCAGGGATGCACGGCTGTCTACAGAGGGGCGGACGGCATGAAGGTGAGTTCAGGGTTTGCTCCTGTCTCAGAGCTGTAGCTTTGAGCGTTACGGAGCAGTTTCTATACAAGGAGAGGATCGGTGACAGATTTAATTCACTGCCTGGCTCCGCAGGAGGCAGCAAGCAACTAAACGAAGCGGTTGCAGGCCTTTTTCCGCCCTCCCAAAAGCGACAGGAGCTGCTCTGGCTCCGCGCGCTCCTCCTGTTCTGGAGGGCTGCCGCTGGCTCCGGAGCAGCCCCTTGGC